CCTTTTCTGAATACACTCACTGTAGTTTTATTAGTAGTTACATTTTTCACCACAAGGTGGCTCTGTGACGTTAGACTAACAGACTAAGGCGTCCAGGGCCTTTGCATTTGACTGCAGTGTTTATATGATAAAAGTTCTTAAATCTACATAAAAAACACACCAATTTGCAGTCAATTGAAAATTATAGAATTCAGTCTATTGAATAATTTTGGAACTTTGTCATCTTTTCAACTTTGCATCTTTGTTAATATCACCCAACAGTTTGAATAACTGGGTTAAATACTCATTGTAAAAAAAAAGTAAACGATTGCTAATGCTCCACTTATGCTCACTTATATCATAGCAAACCTCCAGTTAATCTCCTGTGTTATACCAAGATTAAACATCAAACTGTTCATGGACTCATGTTGAGATAGTATGGCCTACCCTTACTTTGAGGGGAGTGGTTTTTCTCATGTGAATTGTTTTTGGACAGCTGTTCTCCCTGCCTTGTGACTTCAGTAAAAATAACAATGATTATTGCTCAGCTGCAAATAGATATGGCTTCATAAAAAGCCGATAGGATAGACTATTGTCCATCATGTTCCAGTCTTTTCTGGAAATGTGAAGTGTTTGCTGATCGACCTATTTAGCGCCTGTACACAATGACTTGCAGCCGTGTGAGATTGTTCTGGAGGCGTGAGCTCAGTTCTGATATACTGCTATTTCTCACATTAGTGAAGATTGTTTATGTAATGGCTCTGCCCCCCATTCATGTTCTCAGTGTAGCTCTGTATGCCTGTTATAATTACATTTCACATTCTCTGACTGTATGTAGATCTAATTCCTTCAAGGCTGAGTAACTCGGAAAACATTGCTTTTTAAAGACATAAATGAAGACATAAATGATACTTTTTACAAAAAATGTTCTTGAAAAATATTTGAAATCCTGTGCACTTTTTTATTTTATTTTGTCATATCAACTTAAATATTGAATTTTGTTCAGATACATATTTTTAGTTACTATTTATTAAACCAATCTCCATTGTATTTACTCAATTTCAATTAACCAATAATATTTTTAATATTTTTTTACAGTGCAGTTACATGCATTTTGTGATGCAAAAATGACGACTGGATTTCTAGTCTTATCTAACACAGTGAAGTCTCCCTAGTAGCAGATGTCATCATTCACACTCAAGCAAGATTGGATGCTGGGAGCTTAGGAGATCTCGTGCAGCGTCTGGCACTGAACACAGGAATATGATGCTTTGAAGGTTGTCTGAGAGTATCATTGTTATGATGTGTTAAGCTGGCCTGACATCACAAGTTCATAGGCCATAACAGCTGTTCAAGAAATAAAAGTAGCCTGAACAAAAAATAGCAAGTGTTGATTAGTCAAATTCCCCTTTAAAGGAACACTCCGACTTTTTGGGACTTTAGCCTATTCACCTTACCCCCCAGAGTTAGATAAGTCCATACATACCTTTTTCATCTCCGTGCGTGCTATAAGTCTGTTTGACGCACCCACCGCTAGCCTAGCTTAGCACAAAGACTGGATGTGACTGGTTGCAGCTTTCATACTAATCCAAATGAGTGGCAAAATAACGCAAACGTTTTCCTATTTACATGTTGTGATTTGTATAGTCACATAATGTACAAATAACAAAGTCAAGTGAGACACAGACATCTTTTAACCGTATAAAACCTGGGAACTATTCTCTGAAGGCGAAGCACTGCTACTTTGACGGAGTAATAACCGCATCACCGGAGACACCCCGTGGTGAGGAGCGGAGAGTTCGCTCGGTGTTTGGGTAACAGAGTCAGCAATTTATAAATAGTAAAAGCGTAGTTTACAGTCATGTGTTCGCTCTATTTTAAATAGCTGCGACTGTAAACAGGGGAGGTAACCATGTTTCACAGAATTCCAACTAAAAACGCTGACTGGATGAAGAATTGGCTAACTTACTCTGGATATTTATCCAAACACACCTAAGATTATCAAGGGACATTATGTTTGCTCGGTACATTTCAATGGACGACTATTTTGAAAAATGGAATTTGCCACACGGACCATAATGTGCTGAAGGATACGGCCATCCCATCGATAGCACAGACAGGACAAGTGGATCACCTGCGGCTGAGGTAAGTGTTCCGTTATGTTTTTAGATGACCTACTGTAACAGTGCCATTAGCCAGAGCTAATGTAACGTTAGTGACACTATTATATGATTAGGGTATGAATATGTTTTTATCTTGATGCGGTGCGGACGCGCTTGGAAAAAAACGAGCGCGTTCACCGCGTTGAACTTGCACCCTGCGCGCGGCGCGCCTAGTAGCCTAAATTTGAAATAACCATGGAAATAACAAACTTGAGCGTGCAAAAGGGTACGATAGGCTGTGAGTTCATTGTGCAAAAACAATTTGTGCTATTACTTTCCCCTTATTCTATCCTATAGTAATGCAATACTGTATTATATAGGCTAATGTTGAATACATTTGGTTCAGCTAATAAATTGCATTTAAAATATATTGATTCCTGTATAATAATTATTTATTCATGTGATATTTATAAATCTGGGTGCGTTTTTTGGTTGGAAATCAATGAAACATGGTACTGTATTACCTGGTCTCCCCTGTTTATTGTCACAGCTCATACAATAAAGCAAACACCCATGATAAACTATGCTTTTCTATCTAACGCCAACACTGAGCGAACACTCTGCTCCTCGTCACGGTGCGTCTCAGGTGATTTTTATCACTCTGCCCAAGTAGCAGTGCTTTGCCTTCAGAAAATATAGTATTTATACGGTTAAAAGATGTCTGTGTCTCATATGGCCTTGATATTTGCACACTCTGTGACTATACAAACCACAACATGTAAATAGGAAAACGTTTGCGTTATTTTGTCACTCATTTGGATTAGTATGAAAGCTGCAACCATTCACATCCAGTCTTTGTGCTAAGCTAGGCTAGCGGTGGGTGCGTCAAACAGACTATAGCACGCACGGAGATGAAAAAGGTATGTATGGACTTATCTAACTCTGGGGGGTAAGGTGAATAGGCTAAAGTCCCAAAAAGTCGGAGTGTTCCTTTAAGACTTTGAACTAAACACATATCATATCATTATAAAGAAACCCTTTTTGAGTTGCTTCTCTAATAGAATCATGTGCATCAAAAGTATTTCAACAGAGAAAAAAATGTGATTATGAAAATCCCATATATTGGAAACTCATCTCAAAGCGGTACTTTTGTGTTTGGTGGAAGTGGGTTTTAAAAAGCTGAGCTTCACTGTACCTTAATTCTGTAAATCAGTGTCAGGTGTCGTCCAGGAGCACCCAGGACAAACTGATTCAAATTCTTCACATTTTTCATCCCTTTTAGAGACTCCTTTGTTACAAAGAAGGGAATTTTGTCTTTCTTTGAGTCCCAATCGTGGCTTTTAGTCATAAGCTGTTTTGGCTCCAAACACAGAGCTTCAACCACTTCAGTCTGTTCGACTGCAAATGTGGAATCTGTAATTAGAAGCACAGACGCACACTCCCTTTGGACTTTTCTCTTGAACCAAAACTGTCTGAGAACACATCATATTTAGGTCTGTTTAGTTGGCTTAACGTCTTGTTACCGGGAAATGTTCTAAAGCAGCGTGTGCCCAGTCATTGTTTGGGGCATTGTTTTTTCTCTTACTTTTTTGAGAAGCACTTTCTGTGGCCTGGTTTTCTTTTATGTTGTGTGTTTTCTTTTATTCCTGCTTCTGGGGTGTCTCTTGCCAAGTTTTTGTTGTGTGTTTGAAATGTGAGACCTCCTTGTAAAGTCGCCCTGAACTTCATATTCTGAGCATGTGGAATTAAAACCTCACAAACGTATAGGGTGGTCTCCTATAAGGAAAAGTCAATGAAAACCAACTGTAGTTTTTCTGTGATAATGCAGCCAGTCACCAAAACATGATACACTCAATTACAAACAAATGTTTGTAACATGGCTAGCAATGACATGTATGTTACTCTCTCCCAAGCTTCTAAGAAAAACCTAAACCTTGATGAAAGATGCATACATTTTGTAATTAGCATTAGCAATTCTGCTAATATCATACAGGCTTTCTGTTCCCTTAGTTAACTGTGTCTCTGATGTGCAGATCTCTGATGTGGAATGACCCATCTTCTTAATCAACATCAGTTATATAAGTTCCCCATAGCCATTGAGGAACATCTGGTTTCATAAAGATTTCACTCTAAAAAATGCTGGGTTGTTTTAACCCAATTTTGGGTCAAATATGGACAAACCCGAAATGTTGGGTTAAAAATGTAATGTAAAAATTTAACCCAACGGCTGGGTTAGTCCATATTTGACCCAAAGTTGGGTTAAAACAACCCAGCATTTTTTAGAGTGTTGAGTTTATTATCTTAGCACATTAACATTGCTCAGGACATTTTGTCAAAGCTAAGTTGCGTGATGGCTTCAAGAACCGTTACTCTGCTTGTGTGGGTAGACTTTGTGATGGCAACGACGAGCAACACAGCCGCACTGGGGTTATATTTTTAGACCGTTGACAGTGATCAAAGGATGTGGTTGTGGTGTAATATGGAGATGCTTGGTTTGGTATCCATCAGCTAAATCCTTGAGCATCGTTTCCTGATTAAAATTATGTAATGTGGACACCGAGTGTACTTTGGTTGCGTTGGAACGCTTTATATTGTGTTTTAGGTGTTAAAGGCAAGCTCCTGACTTTTGTCTAGATTATATTGTGGTCACAAGCACAGATTAGTCATGGGAACGCTGACCTCCCCTGGCAATCTGCTAAGGCATTCCAAACAGGTAACAATGTGTGTGTGTGTTTATGTGAAAGGACAAGTGAAAGAACAGGTTTCCCTGGTTGTGAGCCGGAGCTCAAGGCTAGAGATGGTTAATGGAAAAAAGACTGAGGAGGAGCTCAGCTCTGCATTCCACAGTCTCCCTACCGAAACCACGGAGCCCCTCTCTCCCTTCCCTTCAGCCTCGGTTGTGTTCCTTTCTTCTGCTTTTCATGAGAGAGAGAGGCAGTTCTGATTTGGAAGCTACCATTTCTGTTCCACAGGGGCTCCCGGACAAGCTGGACCAGAGATACAGGCACTCTCAATTGTCCTCCCCCCATTAGTTTCTTCTCAATAGTCTGATCCTGAAAAGGAGGGGTGGACGGGGGAGTTATCTGGCAGCCAGCTGATCTTTGCTGTGGTATTCTGCGAGGGAAAGGAGACTGCAAACTCTTAGTTACTCAGCTGCACTGAGATAGAGGAAGCCACGAGAGAACTCAACATCAACACTCACGTAAGAGGAAGGAAGCAGTGAGGCTTTTGCGTCAAAAACATGAAGCTCGGCTTCAAGACCACGTGAAGCGTTGCCCTCCGTTGAGAAAAAAACATCTATAAGGGAGAAAAAGAGAGACTGACTCATTTGTTTGGATTCGCCCACAAAGTGTTCCAGTAGACGCTTGGCATATCACCACCAGTGAGAGGTTGAAGATGTCTTGGCTGTCACCAGTGCAGTGGGCCAAATGGACCTGGTCAGCCGTTAGAGGAGGAGGGGAGGAAGAAGACGAGACCGATTCTGGTATGGACGACAAACCCTTCACTGAAGGGATGCGAGCAATGTCAGGAGATCAGGAGGACGACGAAAGGTCTCATGGCTGCAGGCAAGTCTAGAACCTTGTAAAGTTCCCAGTGTGAGAAAGGAAATTACTCTGAAGATGTGATATATGGAAGTATGAAGGATGTAAGGTTGCTTTTAAGAGAGGAAGAGTGGGATATCTGTTTCTTTGTAATCATGTTCTTACCTTAAAAATGAGCCCAAGATCAGCAGTGGAGGCCAACCTGAGAAAAACTGCCTTTAGAGCCACCTGTTTGAGTCAGATGATGGTGTTAACTGTTCTGAATGCTGTGCAGACAGCCGTGGCTTAGCAGTCAGCCACATGGATCAAAGCAACCAGAGATCAGAGGCTCTGAATGTCCATGTCTGTTGGTGCTCTTGTCGTGGTTGGGGAAAGTGGCACGTAAACGTTTTCTCATCTGAATGCGTGTACTCAGTGTGTTTGTGGGTGTTTTTAGCATCATTTCCTTAGGAAGTGTGCATGGCTCAGGTTCTAGCTGTTAGTCTAATGTGTCCTTATGCTTAGATAAAGATCAGAATTTAGCCGCTCCTCTCCCAACCCCCAACTGTGTCATGGCTAATTTCCTTTGCTAGTATAGATAACAGTCTTTCTTGGCACTTTCGATGCTTTAAAAGAGCAAACGTGTTTGTATATTACCCTAATTAATTAGTAGTGCATGCTAAGACAATCATCACCATTTTTATTGCCTATATTAAGGATTGAGGATTTGACTATTAACCTTTGGTGCTGCATAATTTGTTCCACATCTTTATGTGACATACATGCTGTTAAGACTAACTCTAATTAACTTTAACTCTAATATGGCTCTATTATAATAGGGGGGCCCAAGCCAAATCTAGAGCATCCCAACTACTGCAAAGCTTTGTGCTGCTAACATCTTAACAAACACATAGCAACGCCCTGGCAACCACCCACAACAGTTTAGCATTGTAGCAGCAGTTCATATTTTTTTTTATAGGCTAGCACCACTCATACAGTATATTGTTTGAATATGCAAAAAAATCTAGTTCATTTATGTTTAATTCATATGTGTCATCCGGGCAAAAATAATGTTTTGGTTTGGTTCCCCTAAGCTGTGTTGTTGACATCCTGTCTGTGCTGTTGAGCTGTCTGCTAACATTCCTTTCCAGGAAGAAACTTTTTCTTTCCCAACGCCTCGCAGCCTGAGAGACTGTTGCAAATTAATCACCACACAGACCTGAACAATGGCCCAAAAGAGTGTTGGGATCATGAAAGTTGTAAATATGCTTAGAAAAGCACACAGTAAGCCACCCACACAGAGAGCTACTCATTTCTCTGGAGCTCAGTATGAGTTAACACAAGCAGCATGAGTTGTGCAGGCAGGGATTTGATGAAAAATACAGTCATTTAGTGGAGTTGTTTGTGTTGGGTACAATAGAATGAAATTTATATTTTTGCAAGTTCATCTATTCTCTCGTCTGTTGTGTTTGTTTGCTGGGCTAGTAATGATTACTTCCCTAATGGGACTGCAGGTGGCCTATAGTGCAAAAAGACTGGGCAGTCCTCCCAGATTGGGGACCGATCATACACACACACACACACACACACAAGAGATTAACAATGCTTCCCTTTTAGCTCAGGCTCATGACTGTTATGCTCTGTTGTGAATGTAAAAATTATAGAACACCCAAAAATGAAAATATTGTTTTAAACCTGTACACTGTTATATATATATATATATATATATATATATATATATATATATGATCATTACGTTATGACAGCATACGTTTTTACATAACTTTAACTCATCAAAATAAGTTGAGTAATTTTCAACTTTTTTTATACAAGTTATACAAGATTCAACTAATTTTTAAGTCAGTTTAATGTAATTTAAGTCGAAATGACTTAAACATTCAAGTTGATTGTTCAAAAAATTAATTCTTTTACAGAGTATGTCTTTCTTTCTCTGCAGAAGACATTTTAGGAAACCTAATTATTCCCTTAAAATCTTTCAAACCCTCACACAAAGCTATCACATAACCCAAGTAGACTTGGAAAATAGTGCGTAGGTAATCTGGTCTGCTTTCATGACACTTTTATGTCTTTTCTGAAACTTGAAAGCCTAGTATCATCATAATGCTTCTTTTGTTTTCTACGGAAGAATTAAAGTCATATGGGTTTGGAACAACATGATGCTAAGTCATTTTCCATTTTTTGTGGGACAATTCATTTACCTAAAAAGCTCTTCAGTTTTACCTCACACAAACACACACGTGAGCATATAAAACCACCACACGTGATAAACAACAATTTGCAGAAAGTATTGGTGTCACAGCTATACATAGTTATTATTTAATGAGCACACGATGTGCTCAGTTCAGTTTTGTTTCATCCAAAGCTAAAGCTTAAAGCCACATGTACAAAATGTTTCATTAAATATTGATGTAATTTGATGATCTGATGAGTTTGAATTTTATACTGTTCAGCCCTGATCTGACATCAGCATTATCCATCTGATTAAAATCAAGCTAAGCCAAACTATGTCCAGTGTCCTTTTTTTCAACATAGTACTGTCCTGTTACTAACCACAGTTTTTCTTCATTTTCCATCAGTTCGGACTCAGAGGGCCAGTTTGACACACCTGAAGCTGAGTCACCTGTCCATCAGCCATTTAAAGAACCATCAGCACTGGATCAAACTATAGCAGAGAGCACAGGTAAACAAAGACCTCATAATAACTGAGAGCCATAGAAACAGAACATAGATTCAGAGATGCCACATAGCACCTGTCTCTACATATGCCTCTATTCCTCTTATGCAATGTGATGTTGCCATGGCAACAGGGGGAAAGTATGTCTCCAAGTGGTTTTGTGTGTGTAATATATTGTTGGTATCATTTATTGTAGTGTTGGCTACAGGGGATAGTGGGTCAGGCCCATTATAAATTACTATAAATTATACCTTATGGAATGCAAGTAAATGGGAAGATATATATTTTAACAAAGCAACAAAGTTCTTCCTTTTGTGATCGAGTAATTTACAGACATGAAGGGAAAAGGACTGTTTTAAAAGAATGATTTGTTTGAAAATTGGGAACCACTATTCATAAGGCCTGGCTTGCTTGAATAAAAGCTAGATTTTGACTTACACATAGTCCAATTCCAGTTCTTTATCTAGAAGAGTTTCTTTTACTTAAAAACATGCCTTGTTTTCTTTAAATTTTCCTCTTAAAGACACGTGTCCAAATTCAAGGGAGTGTACCATATCACTAACTGAAAACAGCTGCACTTCCCCAGACTCTTTTTGAGGAACATATCTGCCCATTAAAATCTCATAAACGCTCTAAAAAATGTGAGCTGCCACTACCGTTAAGCCTACATGAAAACGTGTATGTTGCTATTGTTTTGCACTTGAATTCTTATTTACGTCTCAAGGTGTACTGTAGCTCTGGTAAAGTTTGCCAGTGTTTTCCTCAGTAAAGATGAGTTTCTTTGTTTTGTGTTTCAAAGATTCAACTACAGTGATGCATTTTGACCTCAGCTTGAATCAAAAATGTGCAGACAGTATTAGTTACCATTAAATGTAATGGATTAGAAGAGGTTTTGAGGTTGGAAAATAGAGGTTTGGGTAAAGAGAGGCCCCTGACCCAATGTGGGAAAAGCTCACAGCTTGGAATTCAGGAGTTTGGATTTGAACAAAAGCGTCCGCTCCTCTCAGAGCACGTTTATCAATGGAAAAAGGTCAAAGGCCTGCAGCGAAGCACGTCATGTGATTTAGTTATTTTCTCTAAATGCCACACACAGACGCTCTAAAACGCACATTTGCACTCAATGAAATTGTGCTAGGCTTGCTAGCTTGCTTTCATCATTTTGATTTATTATGATTTATAATGAGTTTGTATCTGTTACTTCACAGGAATAAATCTGTAAATGAGGGATTTTTTGATGAGTTTTGTGACAATGTTGTCCTGAGAAATGCATATGCTTTAGGCTAATAGAGCCAGCCTTTCCAAGTCTTCGTGACGTGGTTTGGATTGCTTGAGCAGACAGACAATCTGCTTCCACAATCCAGTTTCCACTACAGTCATCCTCAACCTCACATGCCATCGCTGAAGAACACGTTTCCGTGGCTATCCGTGCATTAGCCAGAATTTGTGGTTTTGTAAACAGAAGCCTTCTTGTGTCCTCTCCACCCCAGGTACTAAATCCTGCAGCACCATCAATGTAAAGTCATACATAAATACAGTTGCTTGTTGACTAACCGAAAAACTAGTATTATTTACTGTTTGATAGCCTTTTCTACTCTATAACAAACTCAGTCATGTATACAATGTTATTTTTATGGCTCTTTTGTGCAGTATCTTTATTATCGTATTGACAAATGGGTTGTGACAGTGTTATGCATTCGCCTGGTATGAGTCTTCTTATTATTTTTCTGTAGTTATATAATCAAAACCGCTCTGAAACATTTCCCAGGAGGGTGGAGATGAAGCATTTGTGTTTTGAATTTATTAGCTCATCATGTCCGAAGCTCTCTCTGCTCTTTTTTGATGAAATAAACATTGTCTATGGATCACACTCCCACCACAGAGAGGAAGGCTTAAGTCACTGCCACTAGCGCTGGCTGCATAACCAATACCATTGTGTCTGATGATGATTCTCCATCACTGGTGTTGCATGTTTGAACAGCAACAGTTACTTTCATAGCCTGAAAGCTTCTGTTCATGTTTAACATTCAAAATAACATTTTTCATAGAAACAGCTTGAACTCAATTTATAGTAGCCATACATTTCGCAGATACCTTAATTTGATGTACAAACCTACATTTCAGATACTACATATACCCATTATAAGGTCCATTTCAAGGCCCTAAATTGACAAAGAGGAAAAATGACATTCAAAATTTCCTATTCTTAAATAAAAGTCATAGAATGCATAATTACATTGGATGCTTCATATCTGCCAAAAGGTGTATTTATTGCAGAAATTTGCTCGCCCTGTACAGTTTAAAAAAAAAAAAACCTGAATTACAACTTAATAACTGAATTTAATAAGTATTCGTGCTGCTTTCAAATTTTAAGTTTAATAAACTTGAAATTGTACTAAGTGACAACTTTGATATTTGAGTTGACGAAACCTAAAATTAAGGCAGAACACACACTTACTTTTAAGTTAAAACAACAAGTTGAGGAGGAGCCTCGACCTCTGGAAATGATGACAAGAGCAGCTGTAGAGAAAGTGCTGATCAGAGTGTATTGTGTCCTCGATTGGAGGGGCTGTCTGTCATCTCATTTAACAGTGAAGGACATCGTAGTACCAGATGTGGAAAAGACACAAAGAGTAAGACATAGCATGAACTTGGTGAAAGGGGGAGGAAGATTGGGCGTAGACATTGGAAAGGACTCATGGAAGGTCTGTGCTCTGTGAATATTGTCATTACAATGCTGAAGGTTGCAGTTGTGTTTATTTCATACATGAAAAGAGGAACTTGAGCTTCACAAACTTGTATTTATAGTTCGTGAAACTCAAGTTCTTTTTTTTTTTTTTGTCCAGTAGAAATCATTGTTTCAGTTAAGACATTACTAGCCAAAAAGTTGTATTTGTTTATGTGATTTTTCATGTGATGTTCCCCTAGAACAGTGCTGAGAATCTATTAGTCAGGAGCAGTCTTTCGTTAAGGTATACTAGTCCTTACTTAAGAGAACAATAGTTAAAGCTTATGGCTTACTCATTCTGGGGATCAAACTTTTAACCTTTCAGATTGCACCCTTGAGTCTTAACCACTACAGAAAATCATTCGAACAGACTCAAGACTCATGTTGCCCACATTAGCACAAATGTCAGAATGTTGGAAAGCTAACAGAATTCACAAATTCAACTCTGAGACAGTCACCTGTTGGACATGTTCTTTCCTGCATCTAAATATTTTGAACAGATAACAGCTAGTACTTCTCAAAGCCATCTCAATTTGAGGTCAGCACAAATTCATAGACTGTCTCTTCCTGTCTCTTATAGCAACAGACTGATGCATCAAAACTCAATGATGACTGCTAGCAAAACTGTTGGTCAAAGGGAATTGTTTCAAAATGACTACTTTAAGACTACTGACAATTTCAATGTAGATGCTTGAATTGTGACTTGTTTTTTTTCTTCGTATTTTGGCACAGAGGCACTGAACCTGATTTTACCAAGTACGACATGTTCCTGGATCAACTTGGAACAACATTCCACTTAATCAATTAGATTTGAGGGACAAGTTAAAAGTTTATGTCAAGTATAAGGCTTAAGGGTTAGCTGCTTCTACATCAGTGTTGTTCATCATTTTTCTCTCTGATTTTAGGTATAACTAATGGTTAGGGTTAGGTTTATGGGTAGGGATGTGGTTAGCATTACATTTTCTGACAGGAATTTTGTTCCAGGATCAAGAAAATATGTTGACCCAGCCAGGAACGCGTCTAACTCGGCAAAACCAGGACAAATCCGAAAGGCCAAGTCTTCTTTTCAGTAAATCAAAAATGGGTGTGATGAAACATCTAGCCCACTTTTATGGCTGATTGTTGCTTGAGGTTGAGTTATTTGTGCCTGTTGGAGACAGGGAAGAGAACACTATTGTTCAACTCTTTGCAGCCCAAGTGAAGCATTTCCTGTCTTTTCTGACGCAAGGAAGTCTGTTCTTCAAATATCCTCCATAGGTTTAACAATAGAGCATACTGTATGTATGTGCTCTAAGAACATATGAAAGGAAAAGTGAAAACACTCAGAAAATACAAGAAAGATGATTTTAGAGGAACATATTGCATTATCCTGTAACACATTATTGCATATTTCACAGGATAAATCTATAAACCGTGTTAATTTTTTTTTACCTCTTCTACTCTCAACAGGTTTCCCTGAAGATTATGTGAATCAGTTGACCTCCATTACAACCGAAGCCCAGAACTTGACCCTGGATGAGTGTTTTCCTGAGGATGCACCTGCCCTGGTCATACGCCAGAACAGTGTGGACCCCAGCCCGGCCCTGAAATCCAGGAACCAGCTTTTCTCTGCTGACATGGATGTGGACCAGCCTGATCCTGCTGAAGCTGTTACAACAGATGATGCCAACATCTGCAATGGTCACATTGAAGAATTGTCCTCCAAACCACACACTAATTCCCTCAAGCTTAGACCTCCTTCCCTTAAGGTGAAGGCCCCACTGAATGGCGTAGACCCCAACGAAGTGGACGACAATCCACCGATACTTCCGAAGGGGAGCTGCAACTTTGACCCTAAACAGTTCGATAACACCATGAATACATTTGCAACTGAAGAGACCAAGTTGCAGAACTCTCCACCTGCCAATCCCACTACTAAATCAGAGTTGGAGGCAATGCCTGCACAGCCAGTGATGTTGGAGTTTGGACTTGATGATGTTGAAGCCAAGAGACCCAAGAAGTTTGGAAAAAAGACAAGCAGCAAGTTGATTACTCCAAAAAAACTGCGACCAAAAGCTGCAGAAACAGCAGTTCTACCACCGGAGACTTCATCAGAAAAAGACCAACCACCATCTGAGAATGTGACTCCAATGAACGTTGATGACATTCCCATTCCTAAGAAATCCTACAACTTTGACCCAAGTCAGTGGGATGATCCCAACTTTGATCCTTTTGGTGGGAATGGTAAACTTAGCAACTCGCCAACACTCCCTAAAGGATCATATAGTTTTGACCCTGATCGTTTTGATGACTCTGTTGATCCTTTTAAGCCGTCAAAGACCTTAGGTGAAAGTGACACAATTAAACCAACGACTGAGAAGCTAATAGACAAACACAAACCAGATGAAACTCTGGAGCAGAGGAAGCCAACAGGACAGCCTCAGAAGAAAAACAAAGAAAGGATTATCACGTGAGTGGCAGTTATGCTAGACAGACAGGCAAAAAGTATTGTGTGTTGCGTCTTTGGCTTTCTGTTGTGTCTATTAACAAACGAGAGTGATTTTCACCCACTAAGCATGATAAACACATCAGTCACACCTACGTTTCACTTTTGTGTTTATTGTTGGAATGCTACCCTGCCTTTTCAACATCTCAGTTGTTGTCTAATCATGCATCTTTCATGTGGTGCAATCGTATGTGATAGTTCACAGTCGTAAAATTTATGGTAGTCTTGTTTACTCTGTCCCCCACTTTCCACTTAACTATGGCATCCCCCTCGACAAACTAATTCATATTTGTTTGTGAAAGTCAGGAAGCTTTTTCTTCATGCTTCTATCTCGGCCTCTAATTTCTTATGGCACGTCCCCTCTCAACATCCCCTCCTCTCTGTGTCTGCTCCCTCCCTCCCTCCTTTCCCTGTCCCTGTCATACTGTCCTCAGGACCACTGAGCAAGTGCGGTTTCTCTGTTTTCTATTGTAAGTATCCTCTCCTGCCCTCTTTTCCTGTACTTTCAATGTTATCTCTTCTGTCCCATTGCATGTCATGAGCACAGTTCAAGGCTGAACTTCCCTCCTGCTAAAAAATCATATGCAGTATCAGTCCTCCAAATTAGTTTACTAGGGCAGAATGTGTACTTATTTATTTTATTGTATTCTGACTGTTCATGCAGACAGTATTGATTTAGTCCATGGGCATTTTGTAATGATTTTCTGATTTTACCCTCTCATGGTGCTAAATACTAAACAGTTGTTATATCAAGCACAATGTAGATATACAGGCTCTGTTTTAAACTGGTCTAAACTTTTTTTAGTAGGAGACACCATAACTAATGAGTTGTTCAATAGGCTAGATGCTAATACCAAGAAAACAGGCTGTATAGCCAACATAATGTTGACGTGAATAGGCTATTTAGGATATAATGAACTAATATAACTGTAGTTTTTAATCTGATGTTTATAGTGTGCATAATTTTAAACACGTTAATCTCTAAAACCTTTGCTGGAAATAAATGAAAAATATTTAGTGCTCTTTTAATTATGCCAAGATGTCAAGAACATTGCTAAAAGTAAGTTAGTTCACTCAAATGTTTAAAAGGTAACACTTTACAATAAGGTTCATTAGTTAACATTAGTTAACTGCATTAGTTAACATGTACAATATGTGAACAATACTTCTTCAGCATTTATTAATCTTAGTTAATATTAATTCCAACATTTACTAATACGTTATTAAAATCAAAGGTTGTATTAGTTAACATTAGTTAATGGACTGTGAACTAACATGAACGCACAATGAACAGCTGTATTTGTATTAACTAACATTAACATAGATTAATAAACACTGTAAATAATGCATTGCTCATCGTTAGTTTATGTTAGTTAATGCATTTACTAATGTTAACTAATGAACCTTATTGTAAAGTGTTACCGTTTAAAAGAATGAAATGTGCATTATGCCTTGACGAAATATCTTAAACGTGTCGTGGGCAAAATATCACCAAATGGTGATTAATCAGCCTGTGTTTTGGTCTCTCTGATACTATCTATATTACTGCAACTATAAGGGAAGCTTTTGTTAAAAATTATTCCAATGTTTCTTGGTTGCATATTCTGATGTTGTCAATATTCTTTTCTGCAGGAACTCGTGTAAAGTAAACAAGTATGAGAATCAGTCCCTAGTTCTGGACGTCTGCAATCAGGTAAGATTTCAGTACTGCCCAACAGATAAGAGTATCCATCTTGTTTTGTGTGGGCATGCGTGCAGTGCTGTTGCAGGTGGGGTGAAAGGCCCTGTGCAAACTTGAAATGCAAGTGTAATGGAGGCCAGCTAGTAGTTCGCTGTGCAAGTAAACCTCACTCCTCTGATCTCAATAGGGGCTCATGCTGGAGACCTGGGTTTAAGGCCCGCTCGGAGCGGGTCGAGTAGGTCCCGGGTGGAGGGGTTACACTTGATGAAATTAACACGCTGAAAGATCGACCAATCAGAATTTTGGTTAATCCAGAATGTATCGACCAATTAATCGATGAGGAGATTACAGCACTATGAAAAACCCGCAGGGAGGATTGCGAGGCCCCCTAGTGGCACAAGGCCCTGTGCGGTTGCACAGTTCGCACAGCCCTTGCGACAGCTCTGCATGTGTGCATCTCAGTATTTGTGTGTGCATATTACTATATGTGTGTGCTTTTGTATGTACATGACTTTGTGAAAGCATAAGCAATATTACCATATAAAGCCTCTAGATTTGCGGTATTGTTTTGGACCTTGTGATTACTGCAGTGACTCAGCAAACACCCTCCTTCATGTTCTCTCACAGTCTCTCTCTTTCTTCTATTAACCCACTCTGAACTAACCTTCCTCTTGAAATACAATATCTCTATGTTATTGCTCTCTCTGAACCAGGACTCTAGAGTGCGTCATTGTTTGTGTGTGTGGCTCAGGTAAACCCTAAGTTATGGGGACGAAATGTCCCCACAAAGATTGCATCCAAAGTCATTGACCTTGTTTGGAAATGTTTTAGACCATTATGAAAACAGCTTCTAAATCATAAATCAAGTGATGTTTTTGAAAATATAAAAATGCAGAAAATTTTCTGGATATGGTTAGTGTAAAGGGATAAAAGATATTGTACAGTATAAAACCATTGTCTATGGAAATTCCCTCTTAAACATGAAAACACAATGTGTGTGTATGTGTGTGTGTGCAGCACTCAAACAGAAATGCGGTTCCCAAAACAGGTCAAAACGGTGTCCGTCTACACTTTTGTCCCAGGGAGTTTAAAGCTCTATGTGAAGAACAGAGTCTGAGGGGCTGTAACTAATTTTTTAGAGTGTTCAAATATCGTGCCTGTTTAAAGCTGAATTACAGTGCTATTTTGTATGCAGCCAGGGAAAATCGCTGTTCAGTGAAAAATCTGTTAAGTATTGCCATTACATAAAGTGTTTTGTCAAGTCTATATGTACAACATTATTATCTGCTTTCTTATTCGCAGGAGAAGGATGTGCAAGAGGATCCCGAATCTAAACTTCCTCAACGCGTCCATCACGCCACAGATGAGGAGAAGTTAGCCTCCACCGTCATGGGCCAGAAGGACGAGCAAGAGGAGTTTTCAGACTGCACCAAAACAACCACCTGTACCAAGACTGCAGATGGTGAGGCTTGTAACTGCTCATTCTGTTCTACTTTTAGTACTGTAGTACTGCAGTGTTTATTCTCAGATAATAAATCAATAATCATTAGAGACTGGGTCAATCTGTCACTAATGAGGTTAACAAGCACTGCTCTGTTAGATCAGACAGTTTGGGGGCTGAACTTACTTGTTCAGCTCTCTCTCTCTCTCTCTCTCTCTCTCTCTCTCTCTCTCTCTCTCTCTCTCTCTCTCTCTCTCTCTCTCTCTCTCTCTCTCTCTCTCTCTCAAGAAGAGTCCTCTGCCATTTTAATTTGGCCAGTAAACAAAAACAGTTCCAGACAAACCTATTTTTGAACCACCAGAGAGCAGCAGTTTGGCAAGATTATGAAGTTTGTTATTAAGTTGATTAAACAGAAGAATAAAGAAGTGAACACTGCACTAGCTTTTGATTTGAATGCAAGTATACCATTTCACCATAGTAGCCTGTGCTGCCCTCTAGTGGCTACTTTATGAATGATTTGTAATCTTACTATTTTCTTTAAGAGAGACCCTTACAAACGGTTTACATATTTTCAAATAGGGCTTACATTTTTATCCACTGGCAAAGAAATTTCAAAATAAAATCAGTAATTATTTGCCTATTTTTTTTTATCTAATCAGATCTGCCAGTAGTGATAACAGACCGGTTTGATAAGAAGGACCTCTCCTCTTCGGTAAGTTCTGATTGATTATTATCTATGGCATTCCTTTAAATTCTGTATGACTATCTTCAACACACGAGGCTACTAGCAGAGGTGCCATATCTGCATGACAGAGATTCATAATTATAAACCCTTTAAGGGGATTAGTGATGTCCACAAGATTTAATCTGTTCAAGGGCAAGCTAATAACTGGGTCAGAGGAAACTAAAAAGTGTAGTCATTGTTTCATATCCTGGAAAAATGTGGTATTTTGTACAGTATGATGTCACATTATTATTATTGATAGGAACATTTGGTATAATAAATCAATTTCAAAAGTTTTTCTCTGATTTTGTTTGTTCTACAGAGTGAGTGTCATTCTCTGAGCTCTCCAGACAGCGAAACCATAGTGAAGATGAGTCCAGGGCTGGATTCAATCCCTCTCAGTGAGATAGATAAAGCAGCAGTGCTCACACTGATCAGAGAAGAGGTAACACTCAAACACAGATATACTGTCCTGAGATCAGTCCGGCACAGTATTCAGTATACATGTAAACACATTAAATGACAAATAAACTAAATAAAAATGATTACATTTATTCTGATTTTGATGACATTTTTAACTTTATTAATTGTAATAATTAAACTAGTTGGATAGTTTAATGTAGCATTCTAATGTAGTTTTTAATTTAATTTAATAGTCTAACTGGATAAAGTTGCATTTTTGTAACTGTAGATCATCGCCAAAGAGATCGAAGCCAATGAGTGGAAGAGGAAATGTGAGGAGGGTAAACTGGAGGTCATTGAAATGAGGTACATCCTTATCTAGAACCCTTCCCAGAATGCTTCGAGTTTAATCTGACACTTCACTGACAATGAAACATTCTAACATTCTTTACTGATTTTACTATAGGAAAATAGTTGATGAGTATGAGAAGACAGTAGCTCAAATGATAGGTGAGTGATCTACCTCTCAAAACCGTTCAAAAACATAATGAATAAAAAGTTTCTGCACATTTCTGCAATGACTAATCTTTTTTGTGGTCTGATTTCCGCAATACAGAAGACGAGCAGCGAAAGAACATAGGATCTCAGAAAAGTGTCCACCAGGTAACCCTGGAGAGAGATCAGGCCCTCGCCGACCTCAACTCGGTGGAGCGCTCGCTGTCCGACCTGTTCAGACGTTACGAAAACTTGAAGACCGTCCTCGAGGGCTATAAGAAGGTAAGATGTCTTCCTCAGTGTCCGAAATTCTGAATATATAAACGATTCATCTGAATGTATACAGATGATTCTGCTGCTCTCTTATCAGAATGAGGAAGTGCTAAAGAAGTGCGCTCAGGATTACCTCATGCGTGTGAGGCAGGAGGAACAACGTTATCAGACCCTCAAAATCCACGCAGAGGAGAAACTTGACAAGTAAGAACCATTTTCACTGGGTACATTTACACGACAACAATGTGCTAAAAACAGATTTTAAAAAAACCCAACTTTGGACAAAATGACAAGGAACCTTTAAAGGATTAGATCACTTTTAAAAAAAACTTTTCCTGATAATTTACTCAACCCCATGTCATCCAAGATGTTCATGTCTTTCTTTCTTCGGTCGAAAAGATATTAAGGTTTTTGATGAAAACAGTCCAGGATTTTCTCCATATAATGGACTTCAATGGGAACCAAACAGTTCAAGGTCCAAATGAGAGTTTCAGTGCAGCTTCAAAGGGCTTTAAACGACACCAGACAATGAATAAGGGTCTTATCTAGGACAAAAAGTCTTCAGTTTTTAGCTGAAAAAGTTGTCATGTAAACAGCCCCTTAAAATGATGCGTCATTTTCCCCTACCCGATCTCACGACCAAGTCGTACGAATTCGACGAATGACCTACCCCTTACCCCGCCCCTAAACCTTACCATCACGTGGGTTTAGACGAGTCGTACGAATTAGTACGAGTGAGGTCGTACGAATTAGTACGAATTAGACACTTTTTAATCATGCGCCGAATTCGTACGAATTGGTCGTGAGATAGTGTTGGTTTCCCATGTGCATGTTTTACCTTTTTATCCAATTTTGCACAATTGAGGGCTTTCGCAGCCTTTTCCTAGTTCCTATAACTAATTGCAGGAGTACCAGCTTTTTGGTGTATTCGCACCACAGGAACTGAAACACCAGCACCCACCATTTCACACAGTTTATAGCTTATATATTTACTCCACGACCAAACTGTACATGGAAAACAGTGATAGATTCTCACCCCAAGGCGTCACCTTTGACCATGCTTCAATATTTGACGTTTTAGGCGCCCTTTAGCGTCACTTACATGACGCGATCCTACGGCGTCATCTAACTGACGCTAAAGGAAAGCGTCAGTTAGAGGACGCGGTTAGGTTTAGGTGTGGGGTGGGGGTAGGGTATACGCGATCCTAGGGCGTCATCTAACTGACGCTAAAGGGCGCCTAAAGCGTCAGATATTGAAGCATGTCCAAATGCTTCCCAAGGCGTCAGTTAAGTGACGCCTTGGGGGTGAGAATGGGCTGTGATAGATGGACATTTCAATGTTAACGCTAAGGAGAAAATCCAACGCAACCATGAGGGGACTAAGCGAAACCTGATTATGTACTTCTGCTCAGTTAGCAAAACATCAAACGCTAATACTTTTTCATATACGGTCTACTTTCTTTGTATAACAGCTCTATTAACGCATTAAACAGGACTGTTAAACTAATAAAGATGGAGAATAGAGTGGTTCAGGTATGACATCACTTTGTAGGCCATCGTACCGAAGTCAATGTTTTTGTGTTGACGCTGAATTCGTGGGACCGTGGTGTAGGCTGGTTAATTTATAGCCTACTTTTTGCTTTTCACTTCTGCCGACTGCATTTAGGCTTCAACATTCCTAAAAGTTGTGTTCATCTTTGAAAATTATTTTGATGGACAAAACGTGTCAGTATCATAAACTTTTGTTGATCACAGAGCTAATCCAAAAGCCTATGGGAAAAACCTATTGTGTTTTTGTCAAAGGAACCAGTGTGATGCTAACTGCTGATTGGCCTACAAAATGACATCATACCTGCACCACTCTGGGAGCGCTGTGTGCTCAGGCTCTGCCATTCTCAGTGCCCTCAAAATAAAAGTCACAACAACAAGCGCGGCTTACGTCACTTCAGAGTTCATATTGGCGGTGCGAATACGTCCTAGGGGAACCTTTAGTGCTCGAAAAACCACACCAATGGCTAGTTCCTATAACTAAGTTCCTAGAACTGCCTATTGCGAATTGGGCTATTGAATGATTTCTGACCTGCGTTCATTTTTTTGCAGAGCGAATGAGGAAATAGCTCAGGTGCGAGCTAAGGCCAACGCAGAGAGCGTGGCGTTGAACGCCAGCCTCAGAAAAGAGATGATGAAGGTGGAGTCCCTGGAGCGGGCGCTTGAACAGAAGGTAAACTCTCACACATTCATCCTCACCCACATCTGATGTGTATAACACGCGCTGTAACTCATTTTTTCCAAGAAAACCTTAGTTAACACTCACATTATTATTTACAGAATCAAGAGATTGAAGAGCTCACTAAAATTTGTGATGAGCTCATTGCAAAATTGGGCACAACGGACTAAAAGGAAGGGGAACCTCACCATTTTTGACCCAAACCCACCCCGACCAAGAACGCCTCTGGATCTCGCATTGCTTTTTTCCCCCCTTTTTGGAAAGGAGTCACTTTTCCATGGGTCTGGCTCAGGCACTGAAAGAAACAACAAGATATGAGTCCCAAATGTTTTTTTTACAGATTCCGAAAATGCTGACGTTGGACTTGAACCTATATTTTGGTGGTATAAAATGTTTCATTGGTCCTGAAGAAAGTGGGAAAACCACCCACATATCTCATTCTGATGACTTTCTGCTGGCTGTTATTGCAGCTGTGTGTTCGGGAGAGACTCCGGGTGTGTGTTCAGGTGTTTGTGGATAGGCCTTGTTCATAGTTTACATGATTGCACTGCTGCTATTTTTAACGGAGGGAGCAAATCATATTATTTACAACTTTTTTAGTTACGTTTCTTGCATTGGATAATACTGTAACCTGTGTAATTATTCGGTTATATATTAGAGATCATAATACAAATGTAAAGGAATTACGGGTTCAGAACAAGTTCAAGATCAATTGACATCACTGGTGGTATAATGTGGATTACCACAAAAATGAATGAATTAATTAATTTTCTTTTTTCTTTAAAAAAAAAGCAAAAGTACAGGTTTACAGTGAGGCTCTTAAAATGAAAGTGAACGTTAATTGTTAAACGTTACAATATTAAGTATTTCAACTGTATATGAGGGTTAATATGATTTTAGTGTGAAAAATCACTTTTCTATGTAAAGTTTAATGCATTTTTCCTACTTTATTGCCACCCACAAAGCCTAAAACCCTAAAAATATATATATATATTTTAGAGCTTAAATAATATGCAAATATTCGCAGAAGAATAAATCTAAGTACTTCCATACAATTGAAAGCATATTTCTGCTCTAAAATTGGCCATACAAATCCCTCACTGTAATTTCGATGGAAAAAAGCATGGATTTATATTACATTGTATGGATTCAAATGTCATTTTGTTACTCAACACAAATGCTGTCGAGTTTAACTTGTATTGAACCCGCAATAATCTTTTACAGAGTGGATTTTAGCATATTCAAGACTTCTGTTGTATGAGTTTGTAGACAGTTGTAGTTCCATACATTGTTTTTCTTACTCTCTGGGTGTTTATAGGTGCCAAATTATCATAAATTAAGCAAGCTCTGGTGTTGCCAGATGTTCTGATGGGTTTTTTCTAGATTTGAGGTCATAATAATCCGATCGAATGCTTGCTTCGCAAAATGTAACGGCACAAAAGCAAACCTAACTGAAAGCACTTAAACTTTTTGTATGAAACACTTTGTAGTCTGCATGAATTACAGAGAATATCACAAGTTACTCTCTGTCGCAGAGAAGCTGTCCAAAGTTATGCCTGTGGACCGAATCATTTTCAAAACATTCAGAAGTCAATTCGAGGATTGACAATCTTTTGCCTGACTATGATACGTGCCTAATGCTGAAGTAATGCTTTCTTTTGGATGTTGTTGTTGTTTTTTTGTTTTGTTTTTTTACCCACAATTCCTCTGTGCTATCTTATGCAACATTTTTGCTCATAATATTCAACTGCCAAATGAATCCGCTATCGGTGTGCCAAGCGTTTACGGGTCGTGTAGAGAAATCGAGCCTGTATTTCACAAGCGTCTACAGTGACCTGTGTATATTTTTATGAGAAGTTATTTTACTGTGTTATTAATGTTTGTAAAGTGGAAGAGAGAGTTGCGTTGACTAATATATATTTTGTGCATAAATGCAATCCCTGAATAAATGCGCTTGTTGAATGATTGCCTTAAGAAGGGTTATTGGGTGCAAAGATGCAAGGTTCAGTCAGTATCGGGATGTCTTTACAGAAATGATTCTCAGGTTGTGAGTGTGTTGCATAGCTAATCTCTTCTTAAGAGGGATATCTGGTGACAGGGTATTAATATGTGCACTCGCAAAGAGATTGTCCTTATGTTGAGGACAGATAGCATACACTGCAGTGAATTCAATCAAAATAGTGCTGCAAATAACCCACAACAAATGCAATGTTTGAATCATTGAAATGTACAGTACACTGTTAATAATAAGTTCTCGGATGTCATTCCATGGCCTTTTGGTAAATGTAATTGACTTGTATGGGTCCTGGAGTCATTTTTAAAAAGGAAATCGGTGTTGAGATGTTCAGAGAAATGTCCAGATCATGAATCATTTATCCTCTTTAATGGCACAGCCCTGTCTGTCCTCGTTCTCGGCTGGTTTACAGTTGATTATGCAGATGCGTCGTGTGTGTGTTAAGCCGGTGATGAATGCACACTGTGGGATTATGGACAGGCGCTGAGGTGTTTTGTAGTTTAAGACTTCCACACTGTCTCAGCACTTCTCTCCATACAGCATCTCCTCAACATGAAGACTCTCCTCGCCGCAATAGTCCTGTTCACCGCTGTGTTACACAGTGAGTATCTCTATAGAACCAATACCAAACACATCAAGTGTTCTTTTTTTCCTTTCATGTTTCATTATGGTTCGTTTTAATGCTGAACTTACTTTGAATGTTGGTACTCCCGTGATGGAGATTTTATAAATTGTTCAAATATTTATCGAATATTCATTTTCTTTCCCCACACATAATAAGTGTGCATGTAGCCTATACAAATATAATATACATTTTTGTTATTGCTATTATTTAAAATAAAAATAAATATTAAAATGGATAGATGTAGGCTATTATAAATATTTGTATATACATTTTGTAACAGCAGTAAGTGTTTCTACATTAAATGAAATTATTATTTTATTATTATTGACAACACGTTGCTGTTACTAAATGTAGCCTATATAAAATGGTTTGTTCATTTATTTATTTACTGTTCATTTTGTTTATGATTTAAATGTAGGTGAAATTATTTTAGATGTATCATAATCACATTTTAATATAAATGTTCTTTATTAATTTTTGTGTTAATATTGTAATGATACAAATTAAATATGATTATATATATATATTTAATAAAAAATCCAGTAAAAACAGTAATGTTGTAAAATATTATTACGATTTAAAATATTTTTTTTTTTCTATTTTAATAAATTTAACTAAAAATGTAATATATCCCTGTGACATGAATTTAGCATCATTACTGCAGTCTTCAGTTGACACTTCATGATCCTTCAGAAATCATTCTAATATGACTATTTTCTGCTCAAGAAATATTTCTTATTATTATCAATGTTGAAAACAGTTTTTGCCGCTTAACTTTTTTGTGGAAACAGTTACCATTCAAACATTTGTGTAAGATTAATACTTTTATTTTATATTAAATTAAAAAAACAATGCTTCCAAAAACTTGACTGGTACTGTATAACATAATTACAACATATATATAAGCGCTTTGGGTACAAAGAAACCCGCTACATAAATGTAATGAATTATTATTATTATTAATTATATATTTAATACATACATCCTTGTAAATGACTAGTATTTGCATAGTTTGGAGTGGTATAATCTCAGATCAGTGGTGTTGTCTTGTTCGGTGTGTGAAGGTGAGGGGTTGAAGTGTTACACCTGTGTGGCTAAGAACATGGACGAGTGTAACCGCCAGGGATCAACAGTGTGTCCTGCTCACTCAGATGCCTGCTCTACTATCACGGGACCCAGTGAGTGTACACACACACACACACACACACACACTCAGATCACTGTTATAGTTCTCTTAGTGACCACATGGTGGAGACATCCCTCTTGACCGTCTGTGGTGTTTCAATTTCATATGGTGGAGAAAACCAGGGCTAGTTGTCACAGTTTTAACCCAAGTGATTATTTCCGAGGGTGTGATTATTTAAATTTCTGAAATACAATTAATGTACTTGGTTGCAATTAAAGCTATCAAACATTTACACATTTACTGCACAGTTAATTGAACTTGTTGACCTATTGTGACAACGTGCCCTATTCTAACCTATGTTGTTCAAATTTAACCATATATATATATATATATATATATCAATTGAATTAAATCACTAAAATAACAATAAAATTAAAATGAGAAAAATATGAAACAACTTGACAAGACCTGATATTTAAAGTATGAAAAGTACTAGTCTGAATGTTTGTTATGTCACTATGATTCCAATTGTTTACCCACCATCTATAGCAACAAACAAACAAATATCTTTTTTATTATTTTTATTTAATTTTTTTGGAGGTCAGAATTCATAAAAATGATGCTGATTTAAGACAGTTTTGAACTGTGTGTTTAAAGCCAATAAACAAAAACTGCTAATCAAACATTCAAGTAAATTATCTTCTGACTTAAAACCTACAGTTCTAGTGACAACTAGCCCCGGTCTGCAATATTACTAACATAATACTTTGTGTCTGCTGGATTTCACACACACTCAACCAACAGCACAGTCCAAACGAGGTTTATCTGACGTGTCCTTCAGCAATGCTCCGGACTGAGGGTGATGTGTTTCTTTAAACATGTGTGTTTTGTTCACCGCAGACTCTGTGATGAAGTCATGCGCTTACAAGTCTTTCTGTGACAAGTCTCACATGAGCAATGGTGAGGTGAAGCTGGAATGCTGCTTCAACGACGACTGTAACGGCCCGCACCGGTCCCACAGCCACGGGGAAAACAACGCCGCCCCGCCCCTGAGCTCCTGCCCTGTCCTGCTGCTGGGGGTCCTGCTCACTACACTGGCTGTCAGTTCCCTGTGAACCCTTTAGTCTTGCATGTCAAATAAAGCCTCCTCTGATCTATTTAATGGAACTGATAGATGAGCTTTTGTCTATTGGCCAGCAGCATAATCTGTGTGTGTGTGTGTGTGTTCATGCTGTTCAACGCATTATCACCCCAAGGCGTCACCTTTGACCATGCTTCAATATTTGACGTTTTAGGCGCCCTTTAGCGTCACTTACATGACGCGATCCTATGGCGTCATCTAACTGACGCTAAAGGAAAGCGTCAGTTAGAGGACGCGGTTAGGTTTAGGTGTGGGGTGGGGGTAGGGTACACGCGATCCTAGGGCGTCATCTAACTGACGCTAAAGGGCGCCTAAAGCGTCAGATATTGAAGCATGTCCAAATGCTTCCCAAGGCGTCAGTTAGGTGACGCCTTGGGAGTGAGAATGGGCTGTGCTGTTACACACACTGGGGTTAGTTAAACACTGCTTAGATTTTGTGTTGATCTCTGTTATTGTACTTGAGCTCAAATGAGCATCTGCTGAACTAATGAATAAACTAATAAATGACCAGGTAAAACAAATTGTCAATTCTATCTATCTATCTATCTATCTATCTATCTATCTATCTATCTATCTATCTATCTATCTATCTATCTATCCATCCATCCATCCATCCATCCATCCATCCATCCATCCATCCATCCATCCATCCATCCATCCATCCATCCATCCATCCATCCATCCATCCATCCATCCATCCATCCATCCATCCATCCATCCATCCATCCATCCATCCATCCATCCATCCATCCATCCATCCATCCATCCATCCATCCATCCATCCATCCATCCATCCATCCATCCATCCATCCATCCATCCATCCATCCATCCATCCATCCATCCATCCATGTCTATCTATTCATTTCTATTCTATATCCTTCCATCCATCTGTTTATACATTCCCTCCATTTCTATCCATCCATCCATGTCTATCTATCCATCCATGTATCCATCCATGTTTAGCTATCCATCCATCCATTTCTATCTATCCATCCATCCATGCCCATTCAACAGTCTGTCCTACGCTGGATGTTGACGTAAACCCAACTTTCGTTTCCAACCAAAATGCAACCCCTGCAACCAAAATCTTCCCTTGACTGGCATTACTACTTCGATGACCTTGACAGAAATGTAGAGGAGTAAAAAAAAAAAATGTAGTTAAGTTACAGTAAAAATTTTCCAGAAAAAATAATACACAAGTAAAGTACAGATACTCAAAAAGTGTATTAAAGATCTCAAGTTTGCTATTGTCCACCTCTGTAAATCCATACTTGTCTATCTATCCATCCATCCATGTCTATCCAACCATCCATGTCAATCTATATATTGTATCTACAACCCGAATTCCAGAAAAGTTGGGACGTTTTTTAAATTTGAATAAAATGAAAACTATACGACTTTCAAATCACATGAGCAAATATTTATTCACAATAGAACATATATAATATAACAAATGTTTAAATGGAGAAATTTTACACTTTAGTCCACTAAATGAGCTCATTTCAAATTTGATGCCTGCTACAGGTCTCAAAATAGTTGGGACGGGGACAACAAATGGTTGAAAAAGCAAGAAATTTAGAAAGGATTCAGGTGGGAGAACATCTATAGCAACTAATTAAGTTGATATCAGGTCTGTAACATGATTAAAGGGATGTCTTAGAGAGGTAGAGTCTCTCAGAAGTAAAGATGGGCAGAGGCTCTCCAATCTGTGAAAGAGTGCGTAAAAAGATTGTGGAACACTTTAAAAACAGTGTTCCTCAACATCAAATTGCAAAGGCTTTGCAAATCTCATCATCTACAGTGCACAACATCATCAAAAGATTCAGAGAAACTGGAGAAATCTCTGTGCGTAAGGGACAAAGGCGAAGACCTTTATTGGATGCCCGTGGTCTTCGGGCCCTCAGACTACACTGCATCACTCATCGGCATGATTGTGTGAATGATATTACTAAATAGGCCCAGGAATACTTCCAGAAACCACTGTCGGTAAACACAATCCGCCGTGCCATCTCCAGATGCCAACTAAAGCTCTATCATGCAAAAAGGAAGCCATATGTGAACATGGTCCAGAAGCGCCGTCGTGTCCTGTGGGCCAAGGCTCATTTAAAATGGACTATTTCAAAGTGGAAAAGTATTCTATGGTCAAACGAGTCCAAATTTGACATTTTTGTTGGAAATCACGGACGCCGTGTCCTCCGGACAAAAGAAGAGGGAGACCTTCCATCGTGTTATCAGCGTTCAGTTCAAAAGCCAGCATCTCTGATGGTATGGGGGTGCATAAGTGCATACGGTATGGGCAGCTTGCATGTTTTGGGAGGCACTATGAATGCTGAAAGCTATATAAAGGTTTTAGAGCAACATATGCTCCCCTCCAGACAACGTCTATTTCAGGGAAGGCCTTGTGTATTTCAGCAGGACAATGCAAAACCACATACTGCAGATATTACAACAGCATGGCTTCGTCGTAGAAGAGTCCGGGTTCTGAATTGGCCTTGCCTGCAGTCCAGATCTTTCACCTATAGAGAACATTTGGCGCATCATTAAACGAAAAATGCGTCAAAGGCGACCACGAACACTTCAGCAGCTGGAAACCTATATAAGGCAAGAATGGGACCAAATTCCAACACCAAAACTCCAGACACTCATAAACTCGATGCCCAGACGTCTTCATACTGTTTTGAAAAGAAGAGGAGATGTTGCACCATGGTAAACGTGTCCCCGTCCCAACTATTTTGAGACATGTAGCAGGCATCAAATTTGAAATGAGCTCATTTAGTGGATAAAAGTGTACAATTTCTCCGTTTAAACATTTGTTATGTTATCTATGTTCTATTGTGAATAAAATATTGGCTCATGTGATTTGAAAGTCGTATAGTTTTAATTTTATTCAAATTTAAAAAACGTCCCAACTTTTCTGGAATTCGGGTTGTATTTATTTATCCATCCATTCATTCATGTCTGTCTATCAACTCTATTTATCTATCCATCCATCCATGTCTGTCTGTTCTATCAGACGGAAAAGTGGGTGTTAGTCGTGAGAAGCCTCGTAGGTCCCAGCCAAGGTCTAAATCTGAATCGTTGCGCTTTTTCACTGGTGGAAGCCTCACGTAGGTCGACAGGGCATCCCCAGATGTATGACGACAGTCATGTGCAGCACGCACACTCACACGGGACGTCTGTAACTTTCATAACGTGTTAGCGATGGCTGGTTTCATATTGCACTGGTGGGTGGGAGGTGGTGAAGCGCGTACTGATTTAAAAGTGTTGCAGGAGACAGACAGAACCAGCGCTGCTGCACCAGATCCAGACCCATTCCAGATCCAGCTGCGCGTGTAACTGGGCAGAGTTTCTTCACTACAACAAAGTTTGTCCAAAGGTAAGGTAAGGCGCAAACCAGAAATTATATTTAATATTTCATGATTTGTTTACCACTGAATCGAATTCTGTTTGAAACTTCAAATGCTGACATAGTTGTGATGGATGTCTTTATTAATAACGGAATGTGATTATAATGGTATTTGATATCTAGACATGAATTTAACCCCAATATGGATGCAGGAACAATCGTTACAAATTTTGCAGTCATGTTCTTAGAAATGTACTCGTTGTTCATGTTGGTTTCGGCATAGACTTGAATGAAAATGCTTGTATTTATTGTTTTATTATAACATTCTTAAGAAGTGTAATCAGATGAGGTAGGCATTACGCAACTTTCCTTGCGCCTCAAACACATTATGTTTTTTTTTCCCCAGTATTTTTTTTATTTTATTTTTTCAAAAATCAGCAATGTTTAATTTTTTGATAGCTAAATTGCTTTACATCTTAGAAATATAAATAATGACACACACACACCCTACACCCTTTTTTAAGTATACTTTTAAATGTAGGCTGTGTATGTAGCTAATATATTAATCCATTATCAATGTGTACAAACTTATTTGGCTCTGAATATTAGCATATTGTATAAGACAATTCATGTGAAATTAATGAAACAAAAGAGAATAGTCAAGGTTTTAACAATGATGTAATGAATCTAAGTGTGCTGTCCTGCTGCAGCTTGCTCTGCAACACTGAAACGGGTGAGGTTGCATTGTTCGGACAGTGATTGACATCACGTTAAAGTCTCTTTAAATTAATAAAGTGACTCACTGTAAAAGCAGCTATTTGTTTTAGTGGATTATTTGGGAAAAGAATCCCTAAGGGAATAAGTCAGAAAATGTGATATTGTGTTACGGGTAATTGTCCTGCTGGGTGGATAGATGTGGAGTGTGCTAAATTTTAATCCAGTCACTATCGTAACATCATATCGTGAAGATAAAAGTTTAGTTAGCCTACTTCACACAAAGTACATGAATGGGAGTTAAACATCTTGACAATGTTGATGATATCTATGAATATGCCTACTGTGGTTTTGGCGGTTAGATGTGTATGAATGAAGGAGTTTGTAATGTCATGCTGCCTTTTCTAGAAACTAAACATCCCGGAAACCATTTGACATAGTTTTTGTTTGAATGCTGAGCTGTCTTTTTTGAGTTCAGGGTTAATGTGCACATATATGCAGCTTTTAATGCAGTACATGCATTGCTTTGTGAGACATCAATAATGTCTGTATTTAGGTCTTATTCCTACGAATAAAACCTCAGACTGACAGAGATGATTGGGATTTGGGATGATTGATGGAAAAGGTAGACACTAGACACCTGTCTGCATGCTAGCCTCAGGAAGGACCTTTACCTCCCTTGTAGCCATTATCTAATCAGTTTTTGTGGCCATTATACACTAAATTTAATTTGCTGATATCCCGCACACCAAATGAATCTGTCATGAATAATGTCCCAAATTGGTTTTGTAAATTAGCTTATTTTATGTTACATTATTAATCTTGTGTTTGTTCTGTTTAATGGTCTCGCAGGTCTTTGTGGAAGTTTAGCCATGGCGGTCTCTTCTGCTTTGTACATCTTCAATCTGTTCGTCCTGGTTCAGGCCCAATCTGAATCCCAGCAACCCAAGATTCA